AGTCTTCTTACTTCCGCTTGGGTTTCAAGGTGGTAGCCTACCTGAACGCTGGTTCATTGTCTCGTCCGCGTTTATCGACTAAGGTAAACTCATAATAGTTTCATCTGTTGATCTGCCTGCCACCCCCTGACCCTAGTAAGTATCCTTATTCCTAACTCTTGTTTTACTTACTCAATTTATCCTTATTATTATTATTATACAACATTTCTGTTTCTTCGTTTTAATTTCATCTAGTATCCAATATCAATCATCATAGTCGTACAAAGTATCCAAAAGAAATCACTACTAAAACAGCAACAACAACAGCCTCAGCCACAGCAGCTATACATCGTATTGAAATGGCATTGAAAAATTTAGAAAAAACACCAATTGGTGGTGCTTCCGCATTGAAACCAATCACTAATGCACAACAAACTAATCCATATGCTGATGTGTTATTATTAAAATCAACTAATCTTATTAATAAATCTCATGATCACAGTAACAATAACAGTACTCATCATACACATCATCATCATAAACCATCGAATCGTTGTCGTACTAGTAGTAGTAGTCAACCGATGAAATCACAGAAAAAATTCTATACACATAAACGTGATTTTATATCACGTCCTATTTGAAAACAAACAAACAAACAGAACAGAACAGAACTCAATCTCTCCTTGTTCCCTCCCCCGCCCCCTACATGAAATGGATCTTATTATTGGTGGATTTGTTTGTGTGCTTTGATTGGATCTTTCTGTGTGTGTGTGTGTGTGTGTTGTCTTCCGCTCCCCAATGACCTAGACGTACTTGTGTGTGTATAGTCGTACGACTGAGGGTTGTGCATTTTGTAAATATATTGATTTCTACTTTTAGTTTACTTTCATATTGTGAATAGAATTAGTTTTTAATGTGAAATGTTCTTCTATATAACAACTATCTATTTTTTTTTTCTTAAATAAAGTGAGTAAATATATATATATATATCAGAAATCATTGTGTGATAACACACACAGTAACACATATGTAATGTAATGTAATGTACAAAATTTCTTAAATTTTAATCTTGTTTTGTGTTTCTATGGTTTGAAAGAAAACAGAAAATTACACTTTTCAATATGAATAATAATTGGTCAATTGGCCTTTAACCCCTTTATACCTACCTGAGAGGTTAGTAGTAGTGGTAATGTAGTGAAGGATAACACAGGTGAGGGCAACCGAATTGTATTTAACGAAAATTACAGAGTTACTACTCAGTAAAATAGGAAAACCATATCGTAAACGGTTAATTTGCAAATCTTCACTCCATCATCAATCCGTTGTATGACATTTCACTTATTCATGCGTTTCATACAAATTCCATTGTGTTCCCACTCTTCTTACTTTCTTGATCTTCCCCCATCTTCTGCTGCCACCAGACATTACGTTTTCACTCGCGTCATATACTACTTATAAGTAGCGCGCACCACAGTAGTAGTAGTGGTATAAATTGAATAAAACTATTCCATTTGTATCGGTCTCTGTTAAGCATGTACGTAAACAGCTTAGTTAGGTATGCTTGAACTATTGCGAGTTTACCTTGGTTGGAAAAGGAGAGCGAGGATTCGGTGTCCCAACTCCTCATTGAGTAAAAGAAGAAGACTTGATATGAACTAGAACCTGTATTCTACAAACATCCAGAAAGTACGAGTCCAGAAGAGGCTAAGGATTCCGGGACCAGGTCCTTGTCCTGGTCATAAAACGTTACAGATAATGCGTATTTATACATTTAGGTCGAATAAGAAACAGTTTCGAAGTCTGTGACATTGACAGTTAAGACGACTAATAGGAAGCAATATTTGAAGTGACATCGATAGTCAGGACGACCAATTGGAAACAACATTGGAGTACGTGAGATTGATATCTAAGACGACCATAAAATTGACCAATAATTCTCTTAAGATATTGGATGAATATCCTAACAGTCTCAGTCACTTATATAGCGGTCAGTTGTGTTATTTTTGTGGTAATCTCTTGTGTTTATAGGTATAGTATATCATGCATGATAAAGCCTGTTTTCCTATCTAACGATCATACGGTTTAATCTGCAACCTGGAAAGGAGGAGCTGACGCTAACATGAATCAATTCAGTATCGTGACGTAACTAGGCATCCATTTAGCCAATTAATTTTACTACTTATATATATGCATTACGGGGTTGTGAAGATTGTTAAGTTACGCATTTTTGAAACCATGAATCGATCAATGTTAGACCACCATTAGAAACCTAGAAGAAGCACTGGGCGGCCGTTTCGTCCTGGTATGGGACTCCTCAGCAGTGCGCATCCACGACTCCTGCACCCTGCAGGATTCGAACCCAGGGCCTTCGTTCGATATTGTAGGTGAACGCCTAACCATCGGACCACTGAGCCGGTATCTAACGGTGTTAATGTCTGACTTGATCAATACACGGAGTTGCTGAGGAGTCCCATACCAGGACGAAACGGCCGTCTTTCAGTGCTTCCAGGTTTCTAATGATGGTCTAAAACATTGATTGATTCATGGTTTCAAAAAAACTTATATATATATATTTGTTAGCGTAACACTAGTTATCGGACATGCAAAGAATTAAGTTTGATCATAAAAGTCAACAAGCAAACGGTAAATCAATCCATCTATTGGCGCTTTTAACTCATCACAGATTAACAATTTGATGACATGATATTTTCCTATCTCTTGATGTCAACTTGAAAAAAATGCCAAAAGTTGAGATTGTGGAAATTTTAATAGAATTCTAAAGAATTTCTAGAAGCTCAGCATTCAAATCAACTAACAATCAATAGACATATCGACATTAAGCTAATCTAATGAAGACATGCGCACACATAAACAATTCTATTGAAATGAAATCATGTAACACACACACACTTGTGAAATAGGTTATTTCTGCATAAAGCAGGTGTTGATGATAATGTTTAGGATGTGTGTTATGCTCGTTACCAGTTGATATGCTTGAATGCTATTAAGAGTTCATCTTAGTCGGTAAATGAGAGCGAAGATAAATGCTGCAGTGATACGATAGGCTACTCTAATCCGTCAGTCAGTCAATTACAACGTAGAACTTCGTAAGTAAGTACACCAGTTCAGGTTGCCATACCACATTAGCACACACAGAATCAATTGTCAGTTCAAATCACATAGTGGTAGAGATAATAGAAGTATTATTGGTAAGGCAGAAGACTAGGGTTCAAAGATATTATTTAAGAAGTATAATAATTTAGTGAGATAAATTTAGAAAGAGCAAGACAGAGGCGATGACGAATTCAGAAGATTAGGATGGTCTGGTGTACTGTTACGGGTATGAGGGCTGATTTCACTTTCCGTCTGCCCACATTGTGTAATGGTGTTTCTTGAAGAACCTGAAAAGGAAAGCAGATTAGTGTTGATCTTATAGACCGCAGATTCCAAGGGACAACTGCTTTAGGCTGGTCAGCACGAATTTCTTATGAAAAGTTTAAAAAGTGTTAGCTCCAAACTGCCTTACCGCCGCAGATGGAAATCCGTGAGGTATGACATTTTTAGGGCCGAACTTTTCTAACCTCTTCCTTCCTTGTAAGAAGGCAGCATCGCTGCAGATGCTGGTTTTCCGAGGGAAACACTTTACTGCTACCATACCCCTCTACAGTCAGCAGTACAACTTCACCCTCAGACCTTAAGTTGCTGCTTTTAGTTTTACCATTCTCCTACCGATGATGAGGAGGAAATCATGAAGAGGCGGTGGAAGTGGACAGGACATACACTACGAAAAGCACCTAACTGCATCACGAGACAAGCCCTCACATGGAACCCTCAAGGCCAAAGGAAAAGAGGAAGGCAAAGGAACACATTACACCAAGAAATAGAGAAAGATATGAGAGGAATCAAAAAATATTGGGCAGAACTGGAAAGGGAAACCCATGACAGGGTTGGAGAAAACTGGTGGGCGGCCCATGCTCCATTGAGGGTAACAGGCGTAAGTAAGTAGTTCTCCTACCTGTCTGCCAGGTATGGTAAGACCTAAAGAAACATATGTTCCAGCCAATATAGCTCGATTGGGATCATCACGATAGACAAGCCCGACCGTCACGTCAAGGTAGCAGTAGCTATGGTTGGAAAAAATCTCTTTGGATTAAAAAATGTCAACACAAGAAATCCAAAAATGAGGACCATCTTTCAAGTGAATTTCACGGGATCATCATCTAACCTCCTCAAAACAGAATGACAAAATCATTTATGATTAAACTATATTTAGCTTAATAAACTTAATTAAAATCAACTAGATTTATCTAGAAATTTTCACCCCCCCCATCATATCAATTTACCGATATATATATATTTCTAATTAATTATCAATGAAAGTTTTTCAATTGCTAATCATCTATGGGTGTATTCGTTTTGTTAAAAAAAATTGATAACAATCATTGTCATTGTTTGTTCCTTTTACATTTTAAATTTTGTAAATTATTATTTTCTTTTCTCTCTCATTAAAACAAAACAAAGAATGGGGAAACTACTAATCCAATCATTGTTGATTTATGTAATTTTTAGTGTAGTGTTGATGAAATTGTAAACGTTTTATATGTATATTTTTTCTAATCAAAAAAGAAAACACCTTGTGAATAATTAGAACAATACACAGATATTAAAGTGAACAACATTTTTAATTATAAAGTTATGAAGATTAGTGTTTTCACACATTTGAAATCATCAATCATTGTGAGACCAGAATTAGAGAAACTTGGAAGCACTGGACGGCCGTTTCGTCCTGGTATAGGACTACTCTCATCAGTAGCAGTGCGTACTCACGAGTCCTGCACCCCGCAGGATTCGAACCCAGGACGTTCGGTCTTAGCAAGCGGACGCCAAACCCTCTGAACCACTGGGCTGGCATCCAACAGTGTTAATGGTTAAGTCTGACCAATCTAGGGATTTTGCGTGACCTCACTTATTTGTCTTCGGTAGTTACTGTCTACACCCAACAGGGTTGAACTCCACTGGTCACTTCTTCTCAACTAGAACTACGAGAATTTCCTCATGAAGCTAGTCACTAGTGAGCACATTTTACGATATTTTCAATTAAAATTATGCAGATTAGTGTTTGTTGTATATTTGAAATCATTGATCAATCAGTCATTGTTAGACCATTATTAGAGATATGTGGAAGTACTGAAAGACGACTGTTTCGTCCTGGTATTGATTTTCCATGGGACAACCGTATAAGCAATGCTGTCGTTAGGAAACAAATTCTATGTAGGGATCGCAAATCAATAGATGGAGTAGTGAAATTTCATCAATTGAGGTGGTTAGGACATGTGTTACGTGTGGCTAAGCGGCCAAACCAAAACATGGCACAAATCCATGAAGTCACTGGCAAGTGGACTGAGTTATGTTGATAGATGTAGGCTACTTGGTTAGGGTCCGCGAGACGAAAGTCAACAATGGTTAGAGACCTTGAACGAAGTGGCTCAGAAACGTTCGCAATGGCGCAGGTGCATCCACTCTTTGTGTTCTATGAAATTCTAACCATCTGAATTCCTCATAATCTCTATCTTTCTCCTTCTAAATTTATCTTACTGAATTATACTTCTCGAATCAAATCTTCGCTCCTTAATCTTCTCCATTACTGCTAATACTTCTATTATTGCTATCACTCTTGGATTTGAAATGACAGTTGCGTTTCTGTGCTGATGGGACATGGCAACCTGAACTTATGTACTTGTGTA